TTCCCACACTGGGCCCCTTATATATGCAAATCGATTCTTAAGGAGTAAACTCCAAAAAAACAAGCGGACCCAATAGAAGTTGTTCTGCCCGATTAAAATATCATTATACTCGATTGCGATGCAAATAGAATTGTTATTGGGTTTAAATTTCACTTATACTTTTTCTCTCAAAAAAGTATCTGGAAACTTAAAAAAAAGTTGGATTAAGTCGGTAAAATCGTTCGTTAAGTTATGGTGTAGCCAAAGGATATAGAGCTTGAGTTCTTACTTAATCTCGTAATACCTTTAACTGCTCCTGCATTACTGATAAACTTAGTATAAATATATTTATGTATTTAAGGTATGTCTTAACATAACACAACAACAGTATACATAACAAGCATTGACAAAATAATTTATAATAATACAGTCCATTTATGTACACCGTAAATAGGTCTGTATATTTTTGGATGCAGTTGCCTTTGTTCCTTATCGTACATTAATTCCAAGAAGAATTTACGAATAAAACGTATCAAAGATTGAAGTAATAGGAAATTGCAAAACATTTATTATCTCGAGTAAGAAGTCGAGATATGAATGGATAACCGAATCAAGAAAATAAGCAAAAAGTACAGAAATGGATAATCATCTTCCCAATTCGAGTGCTTGAGCATTTTCTAAGTAAATTTTCTTCTGCTTAAACATAGTGAAGGCATTGCCTCGCTTAAGTATTAATTCATGAAACTCTTTGTTTTTAAGGTTAAAATTCTAGCAATTTTTATAATAAACTACGTTCAGATAATCGGGTTCTTTCTTGTATTTTGTGTATTCACAAATTTAAGGCTCAATTCATGTGACTGACAACTTTATATATATAAGCAGTAACTCTCGTCACTTTTCAAAACACTTTTTATCACACTATTAAAGGTGCGGTAACTATATATAAAAAAAGTATAAAAAGATTTATTCAGCCGATGTCGATGTTCTTGCCGACGCTACAGCCCATTTAACGTCCGAGACAAACGCCCAACGGTTATGCAATATTTGATTCAATAATAATACGTAAGTACGATGCATTTCAAGTAGAAAAGGATGCCGCGGACCATAGTTTACTGCGACCTACATTAGTTTACATTAGACCTACATTGACAGGAGGACGCTGCTAGTGAATAAGTCGTGAAATAAGGATTAAAGAATTACAATATATAGAAATACAATAACAACAACTTAAAAACTACCTAATGTATAAAATTGAAATACAAATACCTTAACGTGCTTATAAATAACATCTTATTTACAAAATAAAAAATAAGTCACCCCCAGCGTCGCCGTCAGGAATGGTGCCCAATAGGCTGGCAGCATTGCCACGTTGAATGGCAACGCTGATCCGTTGACCAAGATAGCTGCCAGCTTTTTGTTCACCAATAACTTCGGTGAGTCTCTTTGATATTTCCTTAAAAAAGGAACGAGCGCTTGGACCCCATGGGCCCATAGTCCCAACACCAAATGGCACAAATATATAGTTCTCATTGAGAGCTGAATATTTGCTCCGTTTGGAGTACTCAGCAGAGACCGCACTCGCATCAAGGGAGGTGCTCCTTGTGTGGCACGGAGAAAGCGTATTCGCGCAAGTTGCGTCCCATACAAGAGGGTGCCCTGCTTCATAAAATTACTGAGACTATTTAAGTTTTTATTTAATACTCAAAGAGTCTCCTATTGAAAGTCTACTTAAAGAGTATAAAACATACATTTAATTATAGACAACCGATCGAGTCTGTGTCTAAATTCAATCTCTAGAAAAATCGATGTGAAACAAAAAGTTCTCACATTCCAAAATTTTAACATAGTATGTCTTTATTTTTAATATAACTGCTAGCAAGTAAAGAGGCCGTAATGCTACGGGCGTTACAGTACCTACCATACATTCCTTACTAGGTTGTGATTTATGATGTCACAAATTTTATTTAGGGGGTTTTGTTGTTGTTGTTAGAAAATGAAAATCCGCATTTTTATGCCCACCCGCCGCGTGACCGTGTCTATAATTTCCTCGTCTCAAAATATTCTCGCCGACAATTTGTTCACGCTTTGTGTATGGTACAACGACGGCGTTTGTCAGTGATCGAACGGTCGACTGTCAACGCAGTTATATTTTTTAATACAAAGAATACTTTTTCATCATCATCTTAAACGTTCCTAGCATGGTCATGGTATGATATGGTGTAGTGGGTAGACACCGTAAAGGTTGTAGTAGGTCATCTTAAAAATACAGACTTCTTACAGAACTTTAAAATGGGAACAATTCCGTCAAACATAACTTTTGTGTAACTTTATCCGTTTACGCAGTAAACCAAAGCTGTTTTTGTAAAGCAACGATGTTATATAATGCAAGTTGCAATTTAGTTTTTTTGTATGCCATATCTTCTATTGACGTTTAACAACGATGTTTTTTGTAACAAAATAGTCACAATTGTTTTAAACTTTTATGTTCACTAACATTATAGCTATAAACGGGATTGTTACCATGTAAATATCGGAGACTCATAAAAACAGGGTAAATGGTAACAATCCCGTTAATAGCTATAAATAAGTCACAATGTGAGGAGCTCGATTGCGCAGGTGGCTAGTACGTTCGGCTGCGATCGTTGAAGTTAAGCAACTTTCGCAACGGTCGGTCATTGGATGGGTGACCAAAAATCTTCTATCTCTAGTTCCTCCGTGCTTCAGAAGGCACGTTAAGCAGTTGGTCCCGGCTGAATCTGCAGTCGTTAGCACGCGCCAATCCGCACTGGGCCCACGTTGTGGGCCACCACCTCAGCAGTGGGGACATTAATAGGCTGATGATGATGATGATGAAGTCACAAAAATCATCTCATCTATCTATCATCATATTGCACACCTTTTAGAAACTGACTATACATTTTGGTGTGACGTATCGAGTTTGTGTAACACAAAAAAAGACTGCCATTTGACGTTAGTTCGTAATGACAATATTCCATTCAACTGTTTCCATTCGCTAAGCTTGATCAAGAGCACTGTTTGTACCGTTCCCAAACCTTCGCTAGCGTCGGTGTCGTTAAGGAACAAACACTATGGAAGTGTCCTAAACTCAACTGATGACCGGATGAAGACAAGTTTAAAAATCGCGCCTAGACCCAAGTAGAAAACGTCTCCTTAACACACGCCTTCAAGGTCATTTCATTATCTCTCAGAAGTTAGACGTCTTTTTTGAAGTCATCACCATCAGCCTATTAATGTCCCCACTGCAAGGGCGACAGGCCTTCCCTATTGTTGAAATAGGGAGGTTGGGCCATGACCCACCATGCGGGCCCAGTGCGGATTGGTGGATGCTAATGATTGCAGATGCAGCTGCGACCAACGGCTTAACTTGCCTTGCGAAGCACGAAGGTGCTCGTGATAGGAAATTTGTGGTCACCTATCCAATGACCGACCACTTCGAAAGTTACTTAGCTTCAACGATCGCAGCCGAACACGGTAAGCACTTGCGCCATCGAGCTCCTCATTCCTTTGATATAAAGGTAAGGTGCAGCGGAAATTGGCCTAGGTCAGGGTAGAAACCGTCTCTTCAACAAGCGCCCTAATACCGACTACTCGATTATTTATTTATTTATTTGAACATTATTGCGAAACATAAGCAAACAAGGTAGGTATTCTCTACCAGTCAACCAGTATGAGTGTTAGAGACACATGGTATGGCGATAGGGCAAAGTTGCTAAAAACTAAATAAAATGAAAATTAAGATGATAAATATATAGATTATAATAAAAACCTCAATAAAATGCTAACATAACCATTCATAAACATACACATATATACATAAATATATGCATAAGTAACAAAAAAAAAATATATATATCGATGCAAACTATAGGAAAAAATCACGTAGTCTGGTAGTGTTCACGCACATTTTTTTTGAACTCAAACTTATTGTGAGTACTACGAATGCTTTGTGGTACAGCATTCCGTAGGCGTACCTATAGCAGTCATAGTGAAAGATTTATTATCCAAATTTTGTCCATCAGAAAATAAGTCAGATCTGACGGGCCTGCCATGCTTTCTGTAAGAAGAGTAAAGAGTATTTTTCGCGCCCTAGTCCGCGGTGTGATTTAAAAGTAGAACACAAATTTCAAGTAAATATCAAATCACTCCGGAATAGAGAGTTTTGATGTTAGACAACCAACAAAATTTGTCCTAACGGAATAGCACTACTAGGATCTCACTCCATATTTGATTTCATTGTACAGGGAATGTTAGACAAACAACAAAATATCTTGTTTACGGTTAAAAAAATTAACATTATCGTATAGACATACACCTTTTCACGTAATCTTTTTTAGGCATGCTTGACTTGGGGGGTAAACTGGCGAATGTGTTACGAGTTACGCGTTACGATTAGTGTCACCGGTGACTCATCGGTAAACAATGAACAATTTAGGCACGCTTGACTTGGGGGGTAAACTGGCGAATGCGTTACGATTTACGCGCTACGAAAAGTGTCACCGGTCACACATATATTTATATACATATAGATGGAGCTAAAGAAGTTTCACTTCAGTCGTGTGGTCGTCGGCAGTCGATTTTTTAAAGAAGGTTTTTGTGGTCACAATCAGTATGAAAGGACACCAAACTGAATATTCTTTTTTCATCCTATCCTATGTTATAATTTCATTGTTTAACTTTTTAACTAAACTTTACTTGTTATATTTATTTTGTTTCGTGCTAATTATCATTATCAATTGGTTATGGTATAACATTTTATCGGAGAAGAGACTGCTTAGTGCGTGTCCAGTGTTCGTAATAGAAAATTAATATCTTCCTGAACATTGAACCTAATAGCGAAGAGTGTACGTTCCAATTTCGTTTCAATCTTAACTGCAAAATCAGCACATCTAAAACTAACTTCACTTCGAACCTAAACGCACCAAGCAATCTCAGCTCTATATCCATCTCTCTCTGTACATACTGTGCTTTTCTCAACAACTTTTTTTCTCCACTTCAAACAGATGCCAACGACCCACATCGAGCTCGAGATATTAAAACCTCACGCAACCTAGAGAAACCAATGTTCATACAGACCGACGTTAGATTGGCAAGGAACGATATATTCCCAAACGCTTCGGCCACGACGCTGCCCGAATTCAGACCGATCTCAGACGAACAGATAGCTAGAGTGACAAAAATACTCAAAGATATTAAGCGACAAAGATCTGGCCGCCTATTAGACAGTGCCGCGCAAGAGCAGCAACTCAAAACGAATGTTCTCAAGAACGTGTCGCAGAAATTGGATAGACAGGACGAGAAAAAGTGCCCGCAAGGGGGCACTTGCGAGTTTTTCTTCTACTGTTGGATGGTCGGTGGACTGTTGGATGGCTCGTGCGGTGGTCTGTTGAAGGGGTGTTGCCACAGAGTCGCTAAGGCCGGCATCCTTGGTGTTCAGGACTCGAACAGCATTGATTACGGGCCAAACGAGGGATTAAGTTACGGCCCCGTCATAAACGACGAAAGTAAGTGACGCTTCAGGGATAGCTGCAAAATTAAATAATGGCTGTCTATCACACCGTTGCGTAATATGTAAATTAAAGTGTTGGGTGGAAAACGAAATTTTGTTAATTGCACGCGTTACAAATGTTTCTTTAAAGACTATTTAGTGACATGGTGGTTTCACCTACGTGCTGTTTACGACGTGTATTTGAAAGTTGCTTTATTACTGAAATGTGTGTTGGCAATTAGTGCCTTGGTAGCTTTCCAAGCACATAATAAAAGTGGTGTAAATATTTGGACAATCTGTACAGTTTTTAATTGTATCACATTCGACAATTTACTTCACAGTATTTTTCTTATTATTTTTGCAATAACGAATAGGTTTTTTTTTTAATTGAACTTTCAACTTAATTATATTATTTTTCACAAAATAATTACATTTCAAAAGAAATTTATTTACGTTTCGGTGTGATAGGCAAAAGGGTAAAGGGGATTAAAAAAGACTATTAAGTGAGCTCAGATGTGGTCGGATGGCAAGACATAGCTAGAAATATTAAAAGATTTTTTATATAAATGTATAAAGAAGAAATCAAGATAGCTGTGACGTCACCAGGTATATGCCTCGAATCTGTACATATCTTGTAGATATTATTATTTATATATTATCATAATGTATATTTTCATATCACTATATGAACCTCTTTCATCTGCTGTTTTCTAACTATGTCTTGCTTTCTTACCTTTTGAAAAAAATATACTCCTAACATACTAACTCATTTTTTATATATTTATTTTTTATTATTATTTTCTCAATGATTTTATTTATTTACCTGTCTTTATCATAATATATGTGTGATAAAATTCTTAAGATAATGCTCTGAATTTTACTATATTAATATTTTTTTTTATATTTTCAATTGAATAATTTAAATCATTTTAAGTCAATTATGGTAGTAAAGCATCAGTTAACTCAACTATATTTGTTGGTGTATATTTCATGAATTTATTTAGTTAAATTAGTAAAATAATGTTAATACCACTTAATTTGTTACTAATTTGACTAAATAAGAAAATAAAATTTCATCGGTTAAGACTGTAAAAAATATGAGTTTTGTTTCGTTTCCATGTTTCAGGCATATCTTAAGGTTTTATTTTGGCATATGTTGTTAATATGTAATTATGTTTCATTACATTCAACAGGTGAAGGTAAGTGTCTTTAACATTTATTTTTCATTCACTGTGCAATTATTACATTTCATGCCTATTCTTGTTTATTTATATTTATTTCATTTGTGTGTCTTTTCAGTGGGAAATTTCTAAAATATGGAAACATAAAGTGGTCAGTTAAATCCTCTAAACAAAAATCTGTAATATCAAGTGGCTATCTATACTTATAATAAATCTGTAGAGAGGTCAATTCTGTACATGAAATATATTTTCATAATAACTATCAGGGGGTGATAAGTGATCGATACTGATGCCAAAAATGCAATCAGTAAAATTTTTGTCTGTCTGTCTGTCTGTCTGTCTGTCTGTCTGTCTGTGTGTATGTTCCTTATAGAAACAAAAACTACTCGACGGATTTTAACGAAACTTGGTACAATTATTCTTCATACTCCTGGGCAGGTTATAGTATACTTTTCATCACGCTACAATCAATAGCAGCAGAGTAGTGAAGGGAAATGTTGGGAAAACGGGAGAAGTTACTCCATTTTTTAAGCTTCCGTCGCGTGTGCGGCCTTAATGGTTAAAGTTACATAGAAATCATGTATAACGGAAATATTCTACATAAAATTGTCTAAAAAATATCCCGCGATAGCATATGTCTATCTTTTATGGTTGACTCACAATAACACGTGTAATTATATAAAAAAAATGTTTATAGCACAAGCCTGAGCACAAAAACTATAGTTTACACTACAGCTCTACACCGAAGCGAAGCGAGGGCGGGCCACTAGTTCATAAATATATTATAACTAGCTGACTCTGCGAACTTCGCACCAACCAAAAGTAATAATTTAATATAAAATAATATTGCGACTATAAATAGAGATGTAAGCTATCCTATCTTTGAAGTTGGATTAAACTACACACGGTGTGCAATTTGATGAAAATCGGTTAAGTAGTTTAGGAATCCACACCGGACAAACAACATGACGCTTTATTTATTTATTTTTTAATTTTACAATTTTTGGGAAACTTACAGCTAGTTTCTCTTATTTGCTATTCTGCATAATATTTATGTTTAAGGCCAATTAATAGTTTCCGCAGATAATAACAGTAATAATTTAAAAAAGTCGGCATGTAGTGCACATGATGCTTAAATGCATTTTAAGTAGATATGCATACTACATAGCTTAAGTATTCGGCTCAAAGAAAAGATTATTAAATTTTGTTTTAAATGAATTCTAGCTGTCACAAAACAAATTCACATCTAAAATTATAAATATTAAGATACAGATACGCGCGAACGGCGGCGCGATGAGCGCTGAAAATGAACACTTCCATCAGTTCTACCTGCCATATTAGTCATCCTCACATCATCATCCAGTGGCATGACGGAGACCACTCACAGTCAAGCTGTATGACTCGCCGTAAGTTCACACAGAAGCGAGCGAGTGCAGACATTTCTCTGGTCGGTCTGACAATTGCTTTATGTGTCAGAAACAGAAAAGAAAAAGGAGTTCTTGGTGCAAAAACCTTGGCTAAAAAAATAATAAGTTATTTGCACTTATATTTAAATCAGATCTCTCCGAAAAATTAAGAGAACCGAAGGTTTGGCACTCTATTCAGTTCAAGCGGCTTGACGGCATGATAGTCAGCAGATGGAAAATCGAATCTTCCGTCAAGTGGCTTGTCCTTCTAAAATTTCTTACCACACATGGTCAGTTTGGCTTCATCAAGCCTGTTTGATCAAGTGGCATGGTGTGTGACCACCATAAAGAATCCCGGGTTGTAGGAGGAGGGGTGATAAGCAGACAAAGCTTCTATTTGCGGATAGTGCAACAAAGTCACCAAATTTCTTTGTTGGCGATGGAATAGTGGCCACAATGAGTCGAAAAAAAAAATGTTTTGAAGCTGACAAATAGAAGTGTGATGTTTAATAAGATGGATATACATTATGCAGAACAGAGCAAATTTGACCTACTATCGTTTGACATTTGACTGCTTGCACTATTATGTATCCGTTCCGTGGTCCGTATGTTACGAGAAAGTATGTTGTATAATATGCCGATAGTAACACATAACATAACGCTACGTAATCGCACAGTTTCGTCCGAAAAACAGTGATTATAAAGTCTATTTCAAGCTAATTGGTAGAAACATAAACAATTTTGATCAAACTGTTTATAACTAAAGCTGCCAGCCGTACGTGCGTTATCTAGGGTTACCAACTTTTTGTCTATCAAATATAGTATTTTCGAAGCTAGTACATGACAAAAAATGGAAAAAAATATAGTATGCGGTTAAAGGTTTTTATCTGTGCGGTGACGGAGAAAGAATACAGCTCACCGCCCCTTCTCTTCCCGTGGGTGTCGTAAGAGGCGACTAAGGGATATCGGAGCTTCCATCCGCTCTGCTGGTGGTAGGGTGCCTAACACCCGCCTGGTTTGTTACCACCGTGCGCATGGTGAAAAACCCGTGAAGTGCTTCTCGCGCGTTTCGGGGTCAGCCAGCGTACAACCAGGGCTCGAGTGGAGGTTGTCGCGACGGATTCGGTCCAGGGCTAGGCATCCGTGGAACCGATGCCGGGAGGACTGCATCGACCCGCCGGCCAGGGAGACCCGTAGAAACGGCTGTCCCGCTGGCCGCCCGTGGCACAGTACAGGGGCCCGAGCGTTCCTAACCAGTTCGCGAGGCTGCCCCATCATGTCACGCATAATCTCGGGGTGGACCGTCGTGCCGGTTGGTGACCGGGGCGTGGGGTCCCGGCGGCCACTTCCGGGGGGGTGCGGGGGCCCTTCCGTCCGGCGGGTCGGCGTATATCCTCTGCAGGCAATCATTCGGGGAAACATGCCTCCCTAATTTGCCCGGTCTTGTCGCGACAACGTCCACTCGTTTCACGTCTCTTTTTCACTTCCATAATGGCAGCTCCTAAAACAAAGTTTGGGCGTTCAGCGGTGCACACCCCCACGCCTTCAACGCTGTTTGAGGTCGAGTTCTGCAACATACGCGGACTCCACTCTAACCTCAACGCTGTCCACCACCATCTTGAGACAGCACGGCCAGCATTGTTGTTCCTGACGGAGACACAAATACTTCCGCCTGCTGACACAGGCTACCTTAATTATCCCGGCTACGTGCTTGAAGAGTCCTTCAAAGCGAAAGCCGGTGTATTCCTGTATGTTCGGGCGGATGTTTGTTGTCGCCATCTCCGCTGCTTGGAAGATCCCTCCTTCTCCATGCTGGGGGTACACGTCGACTCTGGCCCCCTGGCCAGAGTTTACGTGTGTCTCTACAGATCCCACACCGGCGATGTTGAGACAACTCGACTTTTTGAACACCTTAGTCGGGCAGCAGATGACGCGCAGGAACAATTTCCCAATGCAGAATTGGTGTTTTTGGGGGACTTTAATGCTCACCACAATTTGTGGTTAAGTTCCTCCAAAACTGACCATGCAGGGATCTCTGCTCACGCATTCGCTCTCACGCATGACTTGAAGCAACTGGTTGATCAGCCCACCAGGATCCCAGATATTCCAAGTCAAGCGCCTTCTTTACTGGACCTTCTGCTCACGACCCATCCACAGGGCTATCAGGTTGTGGTAAGAGCCCCCCTGGGCTCGTCAGACCACTGCCTGATATCTGCCAAAGCACCACAGGCCAAGCCTCCGCGTCCAGCAGTGGTCAAGCGCCGTATCTGGCATTATGGGTCGGCAGATTGGGACGGTATGCGTGACTACTTTGCGTCCGTCCCTTGGAAGCAGCGCTGCTTCAGTGACAGGGACCTATCGGCCAGTGCCGTTGCCATTACTGAGGAGATTATAATGGGTATGGAATACTATATTCCTCATTCTGATCT